TATTAAAGGTCACTCTGGCCAGATGGGAGTAGGAGGAAGACTACATATGAAGAAGCTGCTTCCACAATCACAGGCTGGAAGTGGAGCCAGGGCACTGAGAGCTGGGGTAGTGAGCAGAGTGGGTGGGTTAGGTGGGATATGCTATATATGTGGAACCCACCTGCCTCCGGCAGCTCTTGAGAGTAATTCCTGTTTTGGTGCTGATGTCATCCAGGTCTTTCTTGGTACCTTTGGACAGCTTCTTGCCCAAGACCTCCCGAACAAAGGCCTCGTCAAAAGTGTAGTACCTTGTGGAGGCATAGGACATTACTGATGATCCATTAAGGAAGGGGAAGGGAGTCTGGGGTTGGTTCCTTCTGTTCCCAACTTTCTGATTTCCTGGGTACGTCCTATCCTCCCTGAGCCTCAGTTTCAGTCTGCAACATGGGTATAAGCCAAATTGATTGACATTCCCGTCATCCCCCAGGTGAGCACCTCTCGATGAGGAGCGCCTGCCGGGAGGGAGGGATCTGGAAGATGAGCTGGTGCAGCAGCTTCGGCGGCGCGTGCAGCAGACGCTCGAGCATGTGAAAGGTGCGGTAGTGGTCCATGGTGTCGCTCTGCAGCACTCCTGCGGTGGCGCCTGTCTGCTCCAGGATTCCGGAGCGCACTCGCAGGGCCACCGCATCGTTCACTAGGGAGACGGCACTACCATAAGGTCCCATCCTGCTGAACCCAGAGACCCTCCAGGGGTTCCAGCTCCAATCCTTCTCCATCCCTGACTCCCACAGACGGTCCACTTCCCTAAGTGAAGCCTAAGTCCTGGCCACGCCCCCTCTCTCACCCCAAACAACTGCTTCCCGGGAGGGCGCTACACAGACCTGAGTAACCATCCAGCCAGAGGCGATACACATCTTCATCTATAAGCGTCGTGTTCCCCACGAAAATGTCTAGTTCGCTGGTCATGGCGAAGCCCAGGCCGGGTGCGCCCCGAGCTGGAGCTAGCACGGCCGGGGGCCGGGCAAGCCGCCGCAGAGCCACTTCCGGGAGTGCGGAGATTTCGCTCCGGGCACCCGGAGCCAGCGAAGGACCACTTCCGGGACGAAGGGGTAGGAAGCGGTAGCTCTGTCTTCATTTGTCACCCCTGCTAGAGGTTGTCTGGAAGACCTCCGGATAGCCTTCTTGCAATCTCCCCTGTCTTGCAGATTCTCCCATTTCTTCCTTCTGTCTCTCCTACCTTCTCAGCTCTCTCAAGTCTCCCAATTGTGACTGTATGCTAAGTTAGAATGTTTCCGAGGCTTTATTCTAAATTGCTGTGTGTGTAGTTCATCAGACAGATGAACATCTTTCTTGTTCCCGCCATGTATTTTATTTTTATTATTTTGAAGTATGCGGGGTGAGGGTATGTGCATGTGTGTACAGGTGCCCTCGGAGACCAGATGTATCAGATCGCCTGGAGCTGGAATTACAGGCAACTGTGAGTCGCCAGTGTGGGTGCTGGGAACTGAACTCAGCTCCTCTTCAAGAACCGTACTTGCTCATAGCCACTGAGCCATCTCTCCAGCCCCCACTATGGTTTTTCACCGCATACTACACCCCCACACAAGCTGTGATTTCTCTTAAAGTCTTTCAGCGCTCTGCCTGGCAGTAGGCATCTGTAGGACCATCTATCTGGGAAGGCTTTCCCCTGTCTTCTTTGTCTTCTCATAAAGCAGCTCTGACACAGGCGCCACCAAGCCTGACAGCCCAAGTTTGATCTCCAGGACCCATACTGTGTCCTGCAAGCTGCTGACCTCCTCACATGCACTGTTGCACATACACATAAATATAGTTTACTTTTTTAATTACTAAAAAAAAAAATAGCCTTTAATCCCAGCACTCGGGATTAAAGAGACAGAGGCAGGTGGATCTCTTGAGTTCGAGGCCAGCCTGGTTGGTCTACAAAGTGAGTTCCAGGACACCCAGGGCTGTTACACAGAGAAACCCTGTTTACCTGGTATTTAAGAGTCAGCCCTGAAGCCGGGTGGTGGTGGCATATCTCTGTGAATTCATAGTGAGGCAGGTGGATCTCTGTGAGTTCATGGCCAGCCTGATCTACAGAGCGAGTTTTGTGACAGCCAGTGATACACACAGAGAAATCCTGTCTCAGGGGAAAAAGAAAATCCTTCAGCCCTGACAGCAATGGGGTGGCACCTCTAATTCCAGCACTCGGGAGGCAGAGGCAGGTGGATCTCTGAGTTTAAGGCCAGCCTGGTCTACAGAGTGAGTTCGAGGACAGTTAGGGCTACACAGAGAAATCCTGTCTCAAAAAAAAAAAAAAAAAAAAAGCCGGGCGGTGGTGGCGCACGCCTTTAATCCCAGCACTCGGGAGGCAGAGCCAGGCGGATCTCTGTGAGTTCGAGGCCAGCCTGGGCTACCAAGTGAGTCCCAGGAAAGGCGCAAAGCTACACAGAGAAACCCTGTCTCGAAAAACCAAAAAAAAAAAAAATAAATAAATAAAATTAAAAAGCTCTTTACAGGTCAGTTTAACTCAGCCCTAGAAGCCTAGAACCTAGAAGGCAGGAAGTCCTGGACATCCTGGTTAATGAGGCCAGGTCTCTCACTCCACCTTTGCCCCCTAGAAACAGCATATTCTAGGGTCTCTAGGGAGATCTCTCTCACCCCCAATCAGCATCCACCCAGTTCTCATACTAGAGACCTGGGCAGTCTCCCAAATTCCTCTCTTGAAGTGTTCACAGCTGTCGATGTGCCTGCTGGTGCCTCTAGTGTCTGCTTCTTCTCCGCCCACTGCTCCGCCGCCTCCTCCTCTGTGCAGCTCCCTTTGTTAATTGATACAGTGTTATTAATCTTGTGCACACACCCTGCGGCCAGAATCTACCCCACACAGCACAGTTGAAGGCTTCTTTTGGAGGTGGGAGGGACAAAGTCTCCTACAGCTCAGACTCGTCTTGAACTTGCTAGGGGAGGATGGCCTTGAATTTCTGACGCTCCTGCCTCCCCCTCTTCCTAGTGCCGAGATTACTGGCATATGCCAACACAACTGGCTCCTTTTAACAGTCTTTTAAAAAATGTATATTTTCCTACTTGTGGTAGCTCATGCTTGTAATTCCTACACAGAGGCCAGAGAATCTCTGAGCTGCAGGCCAGCCTGATCTACGCAGACACTTTCAGGCCACCCAGGATTCCATATTGAGACCCTGTGTCAAACAAAACAAAACACTTAAAAATATTATTTCCTTGTTTCAAATTTTTACTGGCCTTTGGAAACCCTGCAGTCCAGCATTGCAAGCCCTTAGGAATTTGGCTTCTAGCGAGGGAGGGTGGATGGGGGGATGGGGGGACTTGGGGGGGGATGGGGACACACACACACACACACACACACACACACACACACGGGCCTTTAATCCCAGCACTTGAGAGGCAGGTAGAGCTCTGTAAATTCAAGGCCTGTCTGGTCTACAGAGCAAATTCTAGGACAGCCAAGGCTACAGAGAGAAACCCTGTCTCAAAAAAAAAAAAAAAAAAAAAAAAAAAAAAAAAAAAAAAACAACAACAACAAAAACAAAAAGAAAGAAAAAGAATTTGGCTTCTACCCACCCTTGAAGCTCGGCTAGTCTAAACTGTCCTCAATCTTCCAACTTCAAGCACTGGGATTACAGGACGGAAGACATCAATATACCCAGCTCTTCAAAGCCTCCTCATCCCACCACTTTCCATTTACCTACACTTACCAGAATTTCAAAACCATCCTCATTTATTCCTAATGTAGCTGGACTCTTGGGGGCATCCATGTCTTTTACCACACTTCCTGATTTCTCTCCTATCCCTTTTCTCTATTGGCAGTCTTTTATCTTGTTTTGTTTTTAAGACAAGGTCTCTACATAGCCCTATCTGTCCTGGAACTCTCCATGCAGTCTCATGCATCTTTTAGGGCCCCTCAGATATTTCCTCTTTGGGAACTACTTTGGGGGTTCCAGAGACTACTTCTGCATCATATCCTTCTTTTATGGTGCAAGAATGAACTAGAGCCTTGCACTTGCTAGGCAAGTGCATTCATTGAGCCATATGCTCAGTGTGAACTTGGATGCCCTCTCTCTTTCCAAAAGGTTTTCTTTATTTCAAATTGTATGTGTGTGTGCACATGGAGGCTAGAAGACGTGGCAGATGTCCTGGGGTTACAAGTGACTGTGAGCCTCCGGAGAGGAGTGAAGGCTGGGTTCTTAGCTCAGGTCCTTTCCAGGAGCAGCACTACTAAGCGACCTCTCCAGCCCTCCCCCCCCCCCCTGCCCCCAGCTCTTTTCCTTTTTCCTTCTTTTGCCAGATTTTGACCTTTTGGGTCAAGATCAGGATTCTGGTCAAATTTCTTTCTTTCTGGGTTTTTTTTTTTTTTTTTTGGTTTTTCGAGACAGGGTTTCTCTGTGTAGCTTTGCACCTTTCCTGGAGCTCACTCTGTAGCCCAGGCTGGCCTTGAACTCACAGAGATCCGCCTGTCTCTGCCTCCGAGTGCTGGGATTAAAGGCGTGCGCCACCAACCGCCCGGCCAAATTTATTTCTATACAGGTATTTCACACAACAAAATTTTATTAAACAAACAAATCCTTTGGATGGCCCATGCTGCAGGCAGGAAACGTTCCCTGGGAAGGAGGGGTGGTTGATAACGAGCCAGGACCTTTGGTCTCTGGATTCGCAGTAGCTGGAAGTGATGCTTGAGAGTTCTGGCAAAGGAGGAAGAGCCTGGGAAGCCATCTGTTTAGGTTCTGTCGCCGGGTGGGCAGGAGTCAAAGGCAGACTCCTGAATATCGGTTCTCAAAAAGTGCTTGAGGAGATTTGGGACATGGAGTCCCGCAACGTCGTCAAGTCCTGCCGAGATGACCATAGAAGGAGAGGACAGAGAAGGTCCCTACTGTTAGAGGGTCGTGACACCTAGGTCTGGAGTGGGCCAGCGAAGAGGCGCTACAGGCTTAGGCTCCGCCCCTTCCCGGGAGACTTTCCGGATTGGCTGTCCGTCTTCAACATCGAGAGGCCCCGCCCCGGCGCGCGCCCTGCCTCGTGCCCACCCCGGGGTGGCTGCTGCATCCTACGCTGTCTCTTCCACAGCTTGCCTTCCTCCGAGCCAGAGCCCGGGCCGGAGCCTGAGCGGCAACCGGCCCGAGGAGGGGCTCCAGAGCCTCGGCGGCGGGCGGGCGATGCTGCAGCTGCCTGATCAGCCATGGAGGCCGAAGCAGGCGGCCTGGAGGAGCTGACGGACGAGGAGATGGCGGCGCTGGGTAAGGAGGAGCTGGTGCGGCGCCTGCGGCGGGAGGAGGCGGCGCGCCTGGCAGCGCTGGTGCAGCGCGGCCGCCTGATGCAGGAGGTGAATCGGCAGCTGCAGGGTCACCTGGGCGAGATCCGTGAGCTCAAGCAGCTTAACCGGCGCCTGCAGGCGGAGAACCGGGAGCTGCGCGATCTCTGCTGCTTCCTGGACTCGGAGCGCCAGCGGGGACGGCGTGCAGCGCGCCAGTGGCAGCTCTTCGGGACCCAAGCATCCCGGGCGGTGCGCGAGGACCTGGGTGGCTGTTGGCAGAAGCTAGCCGAGCTGGAAGGCCGCCAGGAGGAGCTGCTGCGGGAAAACCTGGCGCTTAAGGAGCTTTGCCTGGCACTGGGCGAAGAGTGGGGCCCCCGCGGTGGCCCTGGCGGCGCAGTGGGCTCAGGCGCCGGGCCCACACCCGAGCTCGCCCTGCCCCCGTGCGGACCCCGTGACTTAGGCGATGGAAGTTCCAGCACTGGCAGTGTGGGCAGCCCAGATCAGTTGCCTCTAGCCTGCTCCCCCGATGACTGAGGGCGCCGCATTTTCCACGCCAACGCCTGCCCGAGTCGCTCCGTGAGCGCGGAGACTGCTGTGGACCTCTAGACCTGGTCGCTGCTTCAGCTGAGCACCAGGGCCCTGGCATGGACTGAAAAAGCCCTGGTACTGAGGAAGGCCCCTTGCTCTTGCTGGCAGAGCAGTAGGGGAATGGAGGCTGAAGTGGAGGGACTTGCTGGGTGGTTGGGTGGGGACTAATAAACTGGGAAGGAAGCAGAGCCCGAAGCCTGGCCAGCCTGTGTCTGGAACTCGCCGGGGTTGGGAAGAGGGCGGAAACCCAAAGACGCGGTGCAGTTCCCATCCGGAGGGACTGCAGAACTAAGGGCTGACTCCTCATTACCTGGAGTTTGGGGTGGGATTTAGGGCAGTGGTAGACCACTAACTCCCCCGATGGGCGCCGAGACGGGCCGAAATCCGGCCCCTGAAGTGGCTCCAGCTCCCTTCCAGGCTCCTTCCTGTCCAAAACAATGGGGCAGGAAGCAGGTGTTGGGGGCCTAAAGCCCACTGGCTGCCTGTTCGGAAGGTGGAATGGTATAACACGGTCTCTCCCCGCCCCCAGTCCTTAAGACAGGAACAGTTTAGGTCCCCAAGGGGAAAAACTGATAATCTTGTTTGCTTGCACTCCGGAACATTCTCAGTCTTTCAGCACAGGAGATGAGGCAGAGCCCCATTCTTCAGATGAGAATATCGAAGTCCAAAAATATATGGTAGTTTCTTCAAGGTCACAGCTGAGACTGGACCCTAGAGCTCCTGTTCCAAACGGTCTCCTTTAGTCTCTGTCTCCAACATGACAATTCAGACTAGAGCTTCAAGCCTTTTATTCCATTTTGGAAGGTTTGTATAAAAATAGTCTCTTTAGGAAAATAAATAGCAGCTGCCCTTGATGTGGAGGCTTGGATACCCTGGAACTAAAGGCTTCTCAAAGCTAGGGAGTGCAGCTCAGCTCATCACAGAAGCCACTGGTGCCTCCTGAGTTGTGCCCTTCAGGAGGAGCCTGCAGGATGCCCTGGTGCTGCTGGCAGTGGAACTGTGTAAGTTAGTGTTCTAGGCTAGTGGAAGGGCACCTTCTGTCTGGGTCACACGAAGAAAGTGACATAGTGTGAAAGTGGTCCACTGGGGATCTGCCGTCTGGACTGCCAGGATTTCTCTGGCCAAAAGGGGACATATTTTGTCTCTAATTTTGTGCAAATTATGATAGGCCAGCTCTAGAGAAACAGTGAGCAGCTTTGGGGACCCCCAAGCTGGCTCTACATCAAAGCATAATATGTTCTAATCTGAAGAGACAGAGGACCTGCTGGTTTGGGGCATGGATGTGGTCCAGGCCTGCTGGATCAGTGGGAGAAAGGAGGTGGCTAGGGGGAGCCCCAGCAAGGGGTGTGGCTGGGTGCCTCACAAAGCCAGGAGTGTGGGAGAACCCAGGGGGTCGGAGGAGGGGTCACCGCTGCTGCTGCTGCTCTTTCGATGAGCTGAGGAGCAAGGTTCTGGTGTGCTAGGATAGGTGAAAACCAGACTGGGCGTGAAGGGGGTCAGAGAGGGTGTGGTCATGAGCGTGGGGGTATGCAGTGCTTCCGGTTCAAGTACAGGCCCTGGAGAAAGGGAGATACAAGGTACCGGGCGGCAGGGGGCTGGTGGGCTGCCGGCGCCGCTGGTGCTGCCCGTACCACCTGTGTCCTTATCTC